TCAGCTCGCACATTCTTGCACCTGAAACTCCTCTGATGTTCCCAATTTAGTCACATTGTTTCTACAATCTGCAGGGCCAAACTCTCCCTGAGGTCCTGTAAGAAGTTGCCCTATCCCAGCCTCTACTGGAGATTTCTGAGACCACTCAGGTAACTACTAGTAGATACCCAGAAAATGCCCATTCTCAAATTGTTTCCTGGGTGTATCACTCTTCTTCAAGAAATGCCTAATACTGAGCTGAACTTGAGATGCTGGTTCACTTGAACAGACTCACCTGTGATTGTGTAAAGTCCAGTGATTGCTAATAAGATAAAGATGGCCAGGTATATATCCAGGCCCARAGCCAGATTGATGAATATGGCTCCAGAGAAGATGTCTGCCTAGAAGAAGAGGAGAGGCAGGTTAGAAGTGGCAGAAGCCAGTTAGCCACAGAGTGCATACTGTATTCCCATGTTTCCAAACTAGCTTTATTCAGGATGATAATTTGTATTCCAGAAAAAGGATTCCATGGTTAAAAATTTCTGGAAAATGCTGAATTAAAAAGGTTAAGGCAATTACTTTGCCACACAACTTCTCTGAATCTTTAGTATATACCATCCTCTGTGAAGGTGAACATGAGCACAGAACACAAACTTCATCAACTTATTTAACTTTGAAACTTTTTTTTGCCAAGGAGTAACTATTAACACCTTGATGTTCCTCCTAACCCACCTGTAGACTGCTGCTCTTAGCCATTATCCATAATTTACACCTCAATGTACACAAGTCTGTTAGCTCTAGTCCCAAACACAAGTTTTAGTGCCAAAGAATCCATGAGTGGAAATCCCAACCCCAACCGAAGAATGAAGAGAACTTTAGAAAGATTATAATTTTACCTTTCTGACACAGAAGTGTAAGGATTTTGGCTGAGGAAATGTACAGGACAGCATTCATCTGGTGAGAAAATTTCTTGGAGGTAATAGGAACCCTGTTTCCCACACTTGGAATATTCTGCATTTYCCCCCAGGGACTAGTAAGGTAACTAATTCATGTGCAATGCCTAGCTGCTGTGGCAATGCCCTGCATGTGGAGGCTCTGTGCTAGACTCCTATCAGCCTCAACTTTGATCTCAGGCACTCAGCTCCTGGGAATAAAGGAACTTTCTTGTTTCACCAAGCTCTGCTGTGCATGAACCTGTCGACATAATAGTAACTTTAAACAATGGACTTTCTTGAGAGCTACACAAAGCTCCTAACATTCACATTGCAATTATAGTATGTAACTTGAGAAATAAGCTGCATAATGTAGCTATCTCTGTATCCTGCCTAATGACACAATGAACAATAATGTACTATTGATGCCAATGATCTAATGTAACCTATTGATATAAATAAGGCTGGCAGCTTGGACAAGGGCATTCTGCCATTCTGCCTCTGCATCTTATCTCTGCGTCTCCTTTTTTATTTTCCCTACACAGAAGGAGTTCATCTTCAGTCACACTTTAAGGGAAAATGTTCCCTTTTTGCTCCTGAACTCAGTATATTCTTGGTGCGGTTCTTCCATGACTTCTTTCTCCTTGTGTCTCTCAGCCCCCTCATAATTAGCCTTCTACCTGGCTGGATAATATAAAACAGCAGAGGGTGTGAGGGTCAACCAAAATTAACTTTCATGCATCTCCAAAACACTGCACTACCAGGAAAGATTAATATTAAGGAATGATCATGGTGAATCTTTTCAAATATTTACATAAAGAATAAGGTTGTCTTCCCCTAGATGAAGATGAGTGAGATGTTTTATTGCACAAATCATTTCAGGGCATGCAAAATGGCCCAGCCAGAGTCCTGGGGAACAGGTCAATAGAGTTGGACTCAATTCTCTTAGTCTCATCTCATCTCTCTCCCCCTCTACTGCAGCACCTCAGTTTCCCCTGGTGGCTGAGATGCCCCACAACACCCTCCTGTTCCTCTGCTAGATTTGAATGTCCAAATGTTCACGTGTTGAAAACTTAATCCCCAAATCCTTATGTTGATGATATTTAAAGATGGGGTGTTTGAGGGCTGGGGCTGTAGCTCAGTGGCAGAGCACTTGTCTGGCATGCGTGAGGCACTAGGTTTGATCCTCAGCACTACATAAAAATAAACAAATAAAATTAAGGCCTTCTGTCCATCTACAACTACAAAAAAAAAGATGGGGCATTTGGGAGGTAATTAGGCTTAGATAACACAGCAAGGGCAGGAGCTTCATAATGGACTTTATAAGAAGAAGACAGACCCCAGTTTTTAAGCTCCTTATCACCATATGATCCACAAGTTAGGCACAGTAAGGAAGCCCTCACCAGATGCCAGTGCTGTGCCCTTGGACTTCCCAGTTTCCAAAACTATAAGAAATTGATCTTTATAAATTATGCAATCTCAGGTATCCTATTATAGCAACATAAAACATACTAAGACACCCTCTTAATGGAATCTCCTCACTACTGTCTCTCTTATTTGGCTCTATTATTTGGTCTAATGTCAATTTCATGCTTACTTGTTAATGTTTGAGCCCTGGAGAATGAATTAACCCCAACACCTAAGATGGGCTTCTGAGGGCCCCATGACTTAGCTCCAGTCCTCTCAGATCTTCCCTGAAGATTCTCATTCCAGAGATCTAATGCCATCATCATTCTTGGTGAAGGAGGATAGGCAGAGCTAGGAGGTTGGAAGAGAGAGTGTGATTTAGAAAGAGACCCCTTCACTGGAAGCTGGTGGTCAGAGGACCTGAGTTTTAGATATCATCACTGAGTACCCTTAGGCAAAACATTTTACTTTTCCACTTCTCAGTGTCTTCATCTTTAAAGCAGGAAGTCCTGACTCCAGGTGCTTGTCTCGGGGGCTAGAAATGGGAAAAGCCTGCAGCCAAGAAAAACATTCCCCAGCCAGGTCCTGGATGGATTCATCCTGCCCTCTGCAGCAGCCCAAGAGGAGGAAAGAACCCCTGCTGTGCTCTATGTTTGCTAAATGCAAATGACCAATTTTTCCTGACTGCACATGAAGCCACTTGAAATTGTGCGAATACTCATAATGCCATCCCATGCCTCCAAACAGTTACACAAAGTTATACAAATTAAAAGGGCCCCATTCATGATTACATCAGGATGCTGTCAAATTCATACGCTTTTGATTTGGTGGAATAACTAACAAACACAAATGAGTTATAAAAAGAGTTCAAGGCTGCTACTATTTCCTTAGAAATGCCCACAATTGGCTTATTTTCCAAGGAAAGGCAATTTTTAGTGTTTTATGATAACATGTCATGGTTGACTGTGATTCTCTCATTAATATTTGCCTTATTGTCAACAGGCTCAGATAAGTATTATACAACCCCAAGATAATTCTATAAATGAAGTTTATAAAGACTTGAAATATTGATCTCATTAAATCTTGTTTTATGACATTCTATTTCCGTCTAGTACAGATAAAGAATTCTAAGCAAACCTCCCTGGCAAATAAATTCTTCCTCCCATGAGTCATTCCTACCTCCAAGATAAATTCTGCCCTTGAAACCCCAAATGCCAGCAGAAACGACTGGGGATATGATAGCTGAGTTCATGAAAGTGACTGTATCTGAGTGAATTCACTTTAGCCTGGGGTTTCTGGCATTAGTCTTTGGGTCTCTCTCAATGAACCAATTTTTCCTTCTTCACTGCTGGATTGTTGTTGTTTTTTTAAAATACCTTTATTTTATTTATTTATTTTTATGTGGTGCAGAGGATTGAAACCAGTGCCTTGCACGTGCTAGGCAAGTGCTGTGCCACTGAGCCACAACCCCAGCCTCTGGCTTTTTTTTCTTTCTCCCTTCAATTATAGGGAATTTTATAGTTTACTAAAGGCTTTCAGATGTACCTGTTATTTTGATTCTTAAAACAACATGGAAAAGTAAAGAATCACTTTTCTGTAACATTTTCTGCTAAGTCATTTTAACCAATTTTTAAAATTGACTTTAAAACAAAATTTTGAATAAAATAATGTGTGTGGTTTTAAAACAAACAGCATGGAAAGTTATTTATTGAAAAGTAAAATGTTAAATGCTGAAAAATCATCACTCTTCCCAAAGGCAAACACTGTTGAGAGTTTTTTGTCTACTAGTTATTTTTAAATAGTTTGCTAAAACTTAGATATCAACAGTTATGTTCTCCATCCCCTAAAAGTAATGATGCTGAAGTTAAAAATCGAAAAATGTGTACAATTTTTGCTAAGAGCAGGGGGAAATGAAACAAAATGGTGTGGGTACTTTTTGTGTGTGTATGTGTACGAGGTGTTTGCTGTGGATGAAAACCTGGGCCTTGCACTAGCTAAAAAGTGCTCTGTTTCTGACTAAATCCCAGCCAGTGTGCACATTCTGATTGAAATTTTATAATAAAAGAATACACAAAATATATAAAAGATTGAAATATGGAAATGAAAATGTTTGTATTAGAGGATTATCGATGTTTCTTCACCCTAAGATTTTCTTAAATGCCTTGAAGTTTCAAAAGTAGAGCAGAAATTTTTAAAATGTTCTTTAAGGATAAATGGGTGTGTGGGGGTATAGCAAAAATATAAAAATAAAGATGGGAGGCTGGGGTTGTGGCTCAGTAGTAGAGGGCTTGCCTCCCAGGCATGGGGCACTGGGTTCAATCCTCAGCACCACATAAATAAAYAAAATAAAGATATTGTGTCCATCTACAACTAAAAAAAATAAGAAATAAAGATGGTAAGAATACATATGAAGTTAAAGTTAGCATTTACCTTTTAGGAAGGAGGGAACTAGGATCAAGAGGAAGTACRGAGAAAAGGGTGCAGATACGTTATGTTTTGTTTCTTTTWAAAAATGTTAAAATGTGTTAGTTGTGTTGGCACACACTTGTAATCTCAGTGACTCAGAGAATTGCAAATTCAAAGCCAGTTTCATCAATTTAACAAGACTTTGTCTCAAAATAAAAAGAAGAGCTAAGAGCAGGGGAGAAGATGTAGCCCAGTGGTAATGCTCCCTTCCATTCAATCCCTAATACCACAATAAATTAATAATAAATAGTTGGATCTACAAAATTTGAGTGGATAGATATCAAGGTGTTTGCCATATTATTATTCTTTGTTCTTTTCTGTATGTTTTAAATATTTCATTGAATTATTTTTATTTAGAAAAGCAGGGGACTGTATAGGAAATACACCATGATAGTGGTATAATAGCCCTGAGAACAATGGTGATAATAGCACCAGGAAAAACTTTGCTGTCTACCACAAATTACATGCATGCCARATTTCTGTCTTCTTAAAACATTCCTGACAAGTCTCTGGTTATTCCCTGTCTGTACATGGATCTCACAAGGCCTTCTCTCCTCTCTTCTCATCTATCATAAACCATCTGTGCGCACACACAC